AAAACAGGTTGTCGCTTTAAACACGTTTGTAATCAAATACCGCCTATATTTGTACGTGTAGGTACTCTTATGACATTGTAAAATTTACAAACTTGTGATAGTATTTCGTGTGTGATACGTTTAAACGTGACCCAGTCAGTGTACTGATGGACTTGCAAGAATTGATTTCATTTTTAGTTAGTTCACTTATAACTATTTACTTAGTTATTTAGTTATAAGTGAAGAAAAAATATATGTAGTTACTAGCGGTTCGCGTCTAGAAAAGCACAAACAGTTCTATCCCACAGGAACCGTTCAGTTTTACAGGATAAAAAGTATGCCAAATTTTACTAAATTAGGTGCATAAGTTGTTCTGTACTATGCTGTATAAGTTACTATAGTTTTTTAACTATCCCACTGGAAATCTTTAATTTTCCGGGATGAAAAGTATCTAAAATGTTGACCGGGGATATAAGGTATCACCATGCAAAATTTCATTTAAATCGGTCCAACAGTTTCGGAGATTAGCCTGTACAGACAGATAAACAGACAGAGAAACAAAAAAATTGAAAAAAATCTGGATTTGTTCTATTTCTCTTCTTACATCCCCCTGACTCGGTTTTTAGCAGATTTTTTCTATGTACAGACATTCGACCTTTACAGTTTTATTATATGTATAGATATTATTTTTATAATAAATACAATTAATTTAGTTGTACCTAAGTGGACAAAAAATTTAGTTATAAGTGAAGTTAAAATGCATCTCCAAATATGAGGTATACTGAGTCTTGTTAAAGAATAGTTTCCTTGTGAACCCACATCTGTTACTTTTTTCTTTCTGAAAACGCAGTTGCATGACGTCATGAACACATTTGTATCTGACGTCACATCGATGAGTCATCCATAAAAATACATACCGAATACTTATTTTTGCTCGCGGCTTCGCTCGCGTGATAAGCAGGCGGGAATCAAAGCCATGTCCGATCCCAGGATACAATCTATGTTCTTTCCAAATTTTATCGAAATCTGTTCAGCGGCGGATCAAGCGTGAAGAGGTAACACAGGGTTACTTTCACGTATTTTATATAATTTATTTATTTGTATTATTTAGTGTGGATGGTGACGCCGTACCTACATGAAAAAATATGCAAGGCTGCATAGTAAGAGATGGGCTCTGATTTACTCTAATTTAGTGTACCTATGTGTAATTTATATGGACCATACAAATGTTAACAAGAAAATCTAACATTGAAAAAACTTGGCTCACTAGTTTTTACTCCCTCGTTTTTAAAAAGTTTTGTCAATAAAATTAAGCTGACGCACAGTTTGTTTTGTTAGTTGTTAGTTAAAAGTAAAAAAAGTAAGTTAGTTTATACAAAATGGTTATCGTTTCAATATGTACATTTGATATTTTACTTATGAAGTAGGTGTGTTCGAGCAACTTATCTGTATTAAGCTACGAGACTGGTTTGTATCTCATTCAATGGCATAGATACAGTTGAGCGATACGTACATTATAACTCAAGATCCGGTTGGTCATTCTTGCAAGTACCTGGTTTCATTCTTTTTTTTATAGACAACGATATGTTGTGTTGTTCAGACAAAAGAAATTTTGATTTTATATATTATTATTAAACATGTGGTTTTCTGGAAGCCACTGTTAGTAAGTTAACCGTTTTTTTTTCACTGTGAAGATTTTTCTATCAAATTACATACAATGTTTAATTAAAAGTATATCGGAGATTGTTATGTTACATAATTTAATCATTTAAATCTAGTTTGAAAAAATCCAGTCCTCGGCAGCCGGATCTTAGACTATTAGCACTATATTTTTTGTTCTTCTTATGATACCGTTACTTGTAATGTACTTGCAAAAAAAATATCTGATGTTTGAATCTAATCTGAATTGTGATCCAAATGTTAAAATAATTTAAAGATTTTCGGCTAGGAACATATTTTCTGGTACGGACATTGACATAGTCACCGTTCGGGAATCCAATCTGAGAATTTCGACATAGTAAACTATGTTTAAGACTCAGACCTAAAGAACTAACTATAAAAGACCCAAACATAGAAAAACCTAAAGACCTAAACAGACAAAAGTACCTATACCTTTTTTTGGTGTCAAAAGAAATTGGCACGCGATTGACAGTAATAAGTTTCATTTGTGATCGGTTTTATTTGCAAACACCGCTTTGAACAAAAGATTTATTAATATACATTTTAAGCTATACTAATATGTATTATAAAGAGGCCTAGTATGTTTGTTTGAACGCGCTAATCTCGGGAACTACTAATCCGATCCGAAAAATTCTTTTTGCATTACATACCATGTTTATTGAGGAAGGCTATATATCAAGGACGAAGAAGAAGAAAAAACAATATTATATGACCATACCAGTTATTTTTCCTCATATCGAACTTGTAACCTTCTGTTTATTAGACAGTGACTGTAAGCCAAACAAGATGGTAGGTAAATTACTCTAGCGTGCTTTATATAGGCATTGGCCTTGGGGCAGTTTGTGCGTTGTTCTAACTTTTATGTTAGCGGTCATTCGACCTTATTATATGTAGAACTTGCGAGTACCTACTCGATTACAAAGCACTAGCTTTTGCCTTCGGCTGTGGTCGGGTTGATTATGTTACATTTTTTTAAAAGAATTTTTCTTATCGGTCTGGTAGTTTCAGACTTATATTAAACAAGCGACTCACCCTCGCTTCGCTCGGGTACGTCCCTAGCTTTCTTCCCCATATGAACTTTCATCCCCATTTTCACCCTCTTAAGGGGTCATTTTCGGATTAAAAAGAATCCTATGTCCTTCCCAGGGTCTCAAACTAACTTCTTACCAAATTTCATCTTAATCGGTTCAGTAGATCCAGAGATTATCTCCTACAACGTCACAAACTCACAAACTTTACCTCTTTATAATATTAGTATAAATAGTATAGACAAGCGGCTTATCCTCTTTTCGTTCGGTAGTCGTGCGTTTCTACCTAGGTTTTAATTTTTTTGAGCGTACCCTAATTCTTTTTCTAAAATTACGCAGGCTAAATTACTCCATATAATATTAGCTATATGCCAGTGAAAGTCCCGTCAAAATCAATCTAGACGTTTCGGAGACTAACCGGAACAAACAGACAGACAAAAAAAATGTTTTCTTATAAGTACCATATATAACTTCATACGTATTTAGTAAAAAGCTGTTATTTTGACGTTACAAACAGACACTTCAATTTTATTTATCTGTGTAAATTATGAAAGAAAGTGTTCGTTTGTGCAAAACCTTAAATCTCAGAGACGACACATTTAAGGTGTTTTTACATATATATGGAGAATGAACGCGAGCGAAGTCGTAAGCAAATGTTAGTACATATAATGAATTACATTTAAAACGTTTATCGCTAGCCTTGCAAGATGCTTTCTAATGAAAATAAACTATCCCATTAAGACATCCATCACTCTGTCTTTATATAATTGTTTTGGCTTCACACCAATGTTCATTGTTAGGAAAATTTCTTGCGTAAATTACTACTTGGACTTGGTATTTGAGTCGTGATGGTCTCGCGTTTGCCAATAATTGAAAGTTTGGGAGTTTGTTCACACTATTGGTTTGATTTGGAGAATTTATTCTTTCTTATCTACTATATATAAATAGGCAAAGACAAAACAGTTTTGGATCTTTTTCTCCTCAGTTTGTCAACCGAATTTATTTTTTTTGTTTAATAGCTGTTGACGAGCTTCAATAATAAACACCTACATACAACTAAATAAAATCTATTCATATATATTTTTCCCAAATTTTCAATAATCATTATGATCGAATTTCGACCACTAGTACCTAGTTATATATAAAAATGAAATGCTGTTTGTTTTAACGGATTGACGGTGCACCGATTTGGCTTTAAATTGTTAAATCTTTGTAATACATTAAGGTTATGTCACAGATTAGTTTAAATAAATCTATTTTAGTTAGAATAAAGACGTGCCTAACAGTAACCGATAAAGTAACTCAACGGCCAAGTTTAATTCCGGGATTTCCGGGATAGTTCTGTAACACTCGGTGTTAATACAGTTTCTTATTAGTGAAAGAATTTTCAGAATCGGATCAGTGGTTTCAGAGATAACCTCAAACATACAAACTTTACGCCCTTTACCTCTTATTATTAGAGTAGACTAGCGACTCACCCTCGCTCCGCTCAGGTTCGTACCTAGGTGATTCTTTAAATTGACATTACTTTTTTATTTACGAACCGATTGAAAATTATAACAACAACAACTAATAATAAATAATAAACAACAACAAATACTAACTGTTAAATGAAGCTTACCACAATGTATTAGTGAAAACCGCATCTAAACGGTTAAGCCATTTCTGAGATTAGCGACGACGATAGACGAACAGACAAATTCTAAAAATCATTGTTTTGGGTTTGGGATCAGTTACACTTTTATTTTATGACATATGATGTCAAATATTCGCGCATATTCTAAAGAAAATGTATGGGAGTAGTATTCTATTGATATATTTAGATTGGACAGTGGTAGCGTAGATTTCGCAGGTCAATGAATACTCAGTAACTCGCGATGACGACACTCATGACTCAAAACTGCTAGATGACGCCACCAGACGTCATGTTATATAAATATGTAGAATTCTTAGTAAATATTGTAGTTGAGGGTGTGTTGACAGAGTTCGATACTGTGTGGGGTAGCCTCAATTAGAAATATTCAAATGTATATTATTAAGTATTAGTTATACGATATAATATACATATGTATAATGTATTTACATTGTATATGTAGTGTATGTTATGTCAGAAATAACTATATTTTAAGTATATCTATACTAATATTATAAAGAGGTAAAGTTTGTGAATTTTGTTCGATAAAATTTGGCAAGGACAAATATGGAGTTTACTTTTCATATTTATAATATTTGCAGAATTGAAGTTGTTGCACACCACTACATTCTCAACTCCAAGTTATACATATTTATAAGCTTTTCGTTTCTCTTTTCCAGGTCCACTTTTCTTCTGACCCGCCGAAAGTGCACGTGATGAGGGTCTGGGCGTTTGCAGCTAGACAGGCCAGAGCTGGTCATTGGGAAAGACACGCACTCGACCGTGAAAGATTTAAGAGAAGGTTTGTTACGTTTTAGTTATCTGGAGTGAGATGACACTATAGTATCTCACTTTCGGCGATAGTGGTTGCTAAGAGTGAGCGATGCTTAAAGAAATTATAATAAAAATTATTTAAGTCTGAATTATATAAGTATCGGAAGAGATTTTCCCTTTTTAGGGTTCTGTACCTGAAGGGTGGCAGCGGAAACTTAGTAATAGGTTTCCGCTGCTCATCCGTCTGTCCATCTGCCAGAGGACTCATGATACCATGATAGGTAGAGAGTTGAAATTTTCATTGACTATGTATTTCTATTGCCGCTACAACAACCAATAATAAGAAACTAAGATGGCAAATTTCAAAATGGCCGCCATGCAAATTAAAAAAAACGATTAGTAGGTACTTAACCGATTTTTTTAATCTACACATAGATAAATGTGTACAAGTAGTTTGTTATTAAATAACTTAGACCATACTAGGGTTTTTATCAGTTGATTGTTAATTAAAGCTTATAGTAAGAATGAACAAGTATGATAATATCGAGCAAAATTAAATTCAAACTGAATGATGAACTATGGATCCAATAAAGTCGAGAGTGTGCGAGCACTCTTAAGATTTCATATTTAAAGTGATATAATTAGTATAGGATGAATTTAGTTGCGTATGTAGATGAGAATGAAGCTGTACAAGTGTTTCTATGTTATTACGTAAATACTTATCTATGTATAGATAATAATCGTAAAGTTTCCATAACTGATGTAAATATTTAGCAAAACGCTCTTACTTAGCAATGGTAATTATCTTATAGTTGAGTGTTTGCTAAGCTGTGGGTTTTAGGTTTGATTCCCGTCGAAATTTAGTGCAATGTAACCAAAATATAATGGCGACAAGTGATTGAGAAAGAATCGCTGTTCTTTATCTACCTTTTAAAAGAAAAATGTGGAGGCTAAAATGGGTTTTGGTCAATTTGTTGAGATTTTTTTAACTTTATGTCCCATTGGTCGAGTATAGTGAAATACGAGACCTATGTCTAGGTATCGATGATACTTCGACATGGCAAAGGACAGTAGTACAATAAGTAATACCATAAAAATTTGGCAAGGGAGAGTAGTACCATCAATATCCCAACTCTAGACTGCCACTAAGAATTTGTTTAGGGAAAACCTCTATAGCTTATATTTGACCCAAACTTCACTTAATGGAGAAGTTTTATGATTATTAATATAATAATTGCCGTAATTGACTTAAAATATAGATCAGACTAATAAATCAGTGATTTTTTTTGATATGTATCAATAAGTGACTGAGAAGTTAATTGTTTAAATCGATCAAAAAATTACTACGAGTAGATACACAATCCCATGTAAAAGTTCTTTTAAAACTGTCACCAATTGTGTTTAGGTAATTATTCTAGTTGAAATAAATATACAACAATGTAAATTGAACCTTAAAAGCGATGCTTAAAGTTGTTTTCACTAAAAAAAAGCGCGCTTAAATGTTCCAATGAGCGCTCTTTTGGTGAGGACATTTTTAGTCGCTGGTTGTGTATCTAGCACTTGTCTCACTCGAGTGTGACGTCATTTTATCTAACTGAGGTCGTCGCACCACAAAATATATCTCAATTGCTCCATTGTTTCTAAGTCGCACGATAGCTTTCGCGCTGTTCCAGTTATTTTGTGTACAAATGCTTATTTTTTATTTATTAGTATTGTTATTTTTTATTTAAACACTCGTTCAGTTCGTGTGACATCACGAATGATTCTTGCAAGCGCAACTTTAAAGTTTCATAACTTTTTCATTTGTTTGAGATATTTTTAATAATTCTTTAATATTTTACTTATTTTTTTGTTAATTAAATCGTACAAAAAAAATTGGAAACGTCTCCATTGTGAAGTAACATCGTTATGTATTACATAAGTTTTTATAAAATTGTAATTTTTGAGCAATTTTCCTTTTGTGATTAAGAGGTGAGAAACTGAAAAGTCATTATTGTACGTGCTGATATTTTGTTATGCAACTTTAAGAAATAAATAAATATTTCTATAAAAAATATTATTCTATCTGTTGTTCACATATTTTTCATCATACAAATTATTGAGTGGGTTCAATTCTCATGCGTTGAAAATTTGTATTGATCATAGTTGTTTTTAACCCCAGACGCAATAAGAGGGGCGTTGTAAGTTTGACGTGGCTGTCTGTGGCATCGTACCTCCTAAACGAAGGGACCGATTTTAATGCGTTTTTTTTGTTGGGAAGCCCGAAGCTGACATAATTATGAAATTTATTATGTCAGAATGAAATGAAACTTCACAGTTTAGTTTTGGGAGTCGTTTGGAGTTTTTAAATTCTTTGTGTAAACGGTGAAGGGTGGCGGAAGTGAAATGTCACTATATTTATAAAACTAGAGACTTACCCTCGTTTCGCTCGAATGCTTCTTTACGATTGAATGATTTTGGAATGCATAAAAGACGAAACGTCCGAAGAAAAACACTTTTTTTTGCGCCAGAAACCTTCACAGGCGTATACAGAATAATCCATCAGAATTTCATCAAAATCGAATCAGTAGTTTTAGAACGCATACAGGACAAACCTACGAATATTCATTTTTATTTGTATAGAAGATTGAATAAGTTACTATTTTGCCACAGCAGAGTGGAAATAGTAGCAAAGTATTGAGCAATGGTGTACTATAAACTATTATAGTCATGAAAATCAAGATGTATTTTCTGTTTCTGTCATATGTTGAATACATGTTTTCCTTTTAATCATTTCCTCGGTTCCACGATGGCCTATATTGTTTATAGTATCGTCGCGCTCGGTTTAGACGCTCGTCTAATAGGTTATCATAAATAGGCGACAATGCAAGTACCACTAACATTTACGAGATGGCGCTATATGACATTGTCAGCATGAGAGCAGATAGAAAAATCTCCAATAATTATTTTTTTGTGAAAAATTGCGGTTTTCCAGAAAAGACAACTACGTTTATAGATAAACTTATAAAGCAAAACCTTATCTAAATGCAAAATTTGATCCAAATCTTTAGAGCCGCTTCCGAGATACGCGAAGTAAATTTATATATATTATAATTAATTGAATGAAGAGATTAAATATATAATGAAATAATTTATTTAGATAAGATACCGTATTTATAATTTTATTTGCAAAATATTTAAGGTGTGATAGATTTTGTAATTTAAAAAAATTATATTATTAAATAATACTCAAATAAATAGTTTATTTAGTATCAATGATACAATACACTTAGGATTCCTATTTTTATCTTTTATTAATATTATTCGTTTAAAAAATCTGCTTAGAGAGTAGCCATTAAATTATTTTTAAAATTCTAAACTATGAAAACTAGCAGATTCTAAAAGTTTTGCATCGATCTTCCTAACATCATGTTATAATTTTATTTCAGGATAGCAGACGTGGAGATGGCTATATCATGGGTTCTGAAACCCCAGCATAGATCAAGAGTTGTATTCCAGAGGTTCAGGCCTTGGTGGAATGCTCAACGACGTAAAGAATTGGCAGATAAGAAACTAGAAGAAGAGAAGAAGCTTGAAGAAGAAAAACAACTTGAAAAAGATAAAGAAAACGAGGAGAATGTTCGAGATACACAGGGAACTAAGAAGGTTCCAGAAGATGAATTAAATGATAGGTCAGGTAAAGTTAATTATTTAGACGATGTAAACGACAATATATCCAAAAATAATAATGTTATTGAAATTAGGGACCTTATTGATAAAGAAGACGATGAAAATGCTTGCAATCTAAAATCTTGCCTCGAGAGGGACCAAAGTAGTAAACAAAATAATGATCAATTCGACCTTGATATGCCACTTCTTATTGAAAAATTAAACGCTTTAAATTTGATTGAAAATGATATAATATCGAATGAAAATGTTACTTGATGACATTTTTATGAGTTATTTATTGGCTAAGTCATTCTTTCTATACAAGGACTATGAGAAATGTGATAACACACACATACATACATACGTACATACATATGAACATATAAATTCAAGCTGAAGACTTCAGTTAAAATTCTATAGATAATAAATATATTACAATTTAAAGACAATCTAGTTTTTATCACTTTCTGCGTTATTATCAAGAATATCTTATCAATGTCACTTTGTATCGTCGCGATATTTCATTTATTTATAAAACGACTGAGAATTATTATGTCTCAACCGGGATTCGAACTTACGAATCCTTGTCGTTTAGATGGCGATTAATTTCAGAAAACGAACGAATCTAATATAAAAAATGGGGGGTGGGGAGGGCGGTTAATATAAAAAAAACCTTAGTATTTAAAAAGTTCAAGATATATAAAGAATGACTGATAACTAATAAAGTGAAAGAGAACATTTCCATGAAAAAAGAGGTTTATTGGAAGGTTACGGAAATTCAAAGACAGGTTTTTCGTTAAAAAAATTATCAATTTTTTTTTATAAAACCTACGCATTCATTTCAATTTATGAACCCCTTTCCACCTTATGGTATAACTTATTTATTAAAAACAAAATGTAAAAGTTGTAAAATACTGTAGAATTGGCGTAATCTAGTCTCAAAGTTTACTTAAAAGAAAAATTGTTTATCTGATAAGCATATGTGCAGAGCTTTAAACGAATCTTGCAAATTCGCAAATAGAATGATAATTAAAATTATAAGGAATTAGTATTATTAAAAGTTACCATATACCAATAAGCGCTCAATATTTTCTTTATAAAACTTATAATATTTTAAAGTTTAGTTAAAAAAAAGTAGGTGAAATATTTTTTATTTATTATTTTACAAAAAAAGGTCTTAAAAAATAATATCTGTAACAAATCTGTTTTTAGTAATAGTTTGAGTGGGGTATATCGTGCCTCGCAATGACACGATCCTTTCGCTTAAATTGTTGCTAAAGTATGCGAAAAAAGAGAATATGCAAATAATTATAACTTATCAACAAAAAAACTTACTACAAAATTATCCAAAAAGTATAGATTCCATTCTTTTGAGACTTTTGCCAAATCCTATCAGCAGTACAGAGGATGTACTGCGCCGACCCCTAGTGATTGGGAAATGGGCAGGGAGATGGTGATGAGCTAGAAAGAATGTTCAGACTGATTAATCGGCTTACCTGTCATTAAATTTCGTCCTTCGCCAACAAATACTCGTAAACTATTTAGCAAAAAAGTGTTTAAATACCAAATATCAATCGATAAAAATATGGCATTTGAAAACCCATTTTGATAAAGTGGCTTAGTTAAAAAAAATTACTTGCAAGAAGCAAACGCAATATAGAGCTACAATAATAATGATCATTTATATAATATGAACAGTAAATAAAAGCGATACTGTTGTTAGTTTTTTTAATTTTCGTATTTTATCTTGTGATTTTTATGTTTAGTGGCCTTCTAGGCTGAAATTATTCTGGCCAATTCGGATATAAAAAATTGATCAATAACTCGACAACGCCATCTATCGAGTCAAAATGAAGTTTCCTTTTTTGGATATTAAATCCTATTATATTGTGAATTATATCAGTCAATTTGACTACAACACCATCTATTGGATTCTAACAGAACGTCAACACTATTTAGGAGACAAAAATGTGTGAGTATGACGTCTACAGGTCATATCGTTTAGGAGTTACACGGTAACTAAAAACGCACTAACAAATGTAATATAAAAAGATTTGATTGTCGTCATTCAATAACCAAAAGGCACTTTGGGGAAGTAGAAAGATTTATGAGGATGCTAAGTGCCTAAGTTTTAATAGTAAGTATGAAAATTTGGGGGGTCTTCAAGTATACTTTTTAGAACCCCTTAGACCCCCTATATCATTGTAGTTTTAAATTCGTTTTTTTGTCATCGTATTTTTAATAGATTATGTCGATTTTAATGCGATTCATTTAGTTTATCTACATAGTATATTTTGTTGTTTGTTTTTTTTGTAAATTTTTGTAAATATTTTTTTATATATGCCGATTGTAGAGTATAATATATATATTTTTTGTTGTAAATTCAATTAAAATAAGATTATATGATATGAATTTCCTCCACTTTTCTCTTATTTTTTGTTACAACATTTTTTGTGCTTTTCAAAATAAAAGTTTTCTTTCTATTTTCAATAAAAGTCAAAATAAAATTTGTTACTTATGTATATTACATGAGAGTATATAAAATTATAAATAGCTATTGTAAAGGACAATGTGATTTGTTTTTTTTTTATTTCAGCGTTCAAAATGCATGTAACACACAATTTCTTTTACTTGAAAGCAAATAATTTAAAAATTACACATCGTTAAGAGGATGAAAGTTATCATGATTAATTAAAAAAATATATATATATATATATTTTAAATAGATGTTTATTATATTTATTGTATTGGGTTTCAATATAAGACCTATGTATTTTTAATTATAAAAAAATGTTTTTTTTTCTTCATCCTCAAAATATTTAAAGCTAAAACAGCATAAAATAGCTTTATTTTATATTTAAAATCGAGTATAATATTGTACCTTTTTTAATATAATAACGCGGGTATAACAGCAAAGTGGTGTAAGTGAGAAAGGAGAAAAATTTTTTTTTGGGATTCACTTTTTAATAGTATTGCATTCGCTTAGGAAACTTATCTCTAAAGCTGAAAACTGACGTTATTGTTTTTTTTAATAAAATATTGATTATATTTTTAAGCATTTAATTTTTTTACTTATGACTTTTGCCTTTATACCCGCAGTTAGTTTTAATTTAGTGTTAAAGGCTTATGGGAGATTTGTTATAAATATTTTACAGTGTCATGTTTATTGAAAAAAATATATGCCTTAGTCTAAAAAATTATAGCTTTTGGAACATAAAAAAGTGAAATTTAATGAAATAAATGGTTACGAGATCTTTTTTTTAAACTGAACTTAAATTTGGAAAGTAAAATCGAAAATGGCCTAACTCTAAAAGATTTCAAGTTAGGTCAGTTTTGCAATAAATTATTAGTTTTATATTTCACTTAAATTTAGATATAAAATACTTGAGCAAATCGTCCGCTGGCTCTTAGACTAAAAGTCGAACCGTTCATAAATGTTTTGTATTAGTATTTAAGTGGGATAATAAATTGTAAAGTCTTATATTATTATATATTAGATTTTATTTAAAACCTTAATCTATACATATAATGAAATAGTAAGTGAAATCTGTACATGAAAGATTTTTTCAAAACAATGACACGTATTGTGTACAGAATATAGACCCCAAAAAATAGTTATTAAATTTTTTGTCTGTATGTCTGTTTGTATGTGCGCTTTTCACGCAAAAAGTACTCAGCCGATTTTATCTAAATTTTGTAAAGTGATAAATTATTACTCAGGTCAACATTTAGAATGCCTTTTACTACAGGGAAATTTTTCACTTCCTTAGGAAAACATAACTGATTCTGTCGAGTCGTCTATAGAAATTGTATATGGCTTACCGTTCTTAGGGTATAATGTATAACCTTTTTCAAAAACTTGAAAATCGATTAAAAATTTTGCAAATATACTGCATTTATGATACAATTGGGGATGGAAATTTGAAAATCCTTTCTTAGCTGATTCTTTTGTCATTACAGAAAGTTAAATACTATATTAAAGTTTCAGGTAAAATAAATATATTTATTATTTTATAATTTAATCAGATTAAAACATTATTTTTATTATAGTAGTCAGCAGTGACACCTAGTGTATATTGGAGTAACTGAATCTTTAAATGAAAATTTTAAAATAAATGCAGCCTAGATGGCGTTATTAGCGTGTAAAATAAAGAATTTCGCCATTTAGATCCAATTTTGGCTTTTAAAAATTCTCAAAGTAACCAAAAGATAAATATTTTAGGCTCAAATCTATAAAACAAACGCGTAGACTGTAAATTGTAGTGGTCAATTTGATTCGAGGCTTCGAGTAGAATTGCGCGGATCCTTCAAAATAATTTATTTTTAATCTAAACTGGCGACTTACGCTTGCTTAGTTCGTGTGCGTTCCTATGTAGGTGCCTATGTCTTATTTTATTTGTGTACAAAATTTCATCAAAATCCGTCCCGCCGTTTCGACGCGGAGGAGTAACACACACATATGTATACACACAACTACTGGGTAAATCTGTATTACGAGCACCGTTTATATTTTTAAACCTCTAGATTTACGAGATAAAGACTAATAGTTACAAAATTTAGTACATATCTACTAATATTATAAAGAGTTAAAGTTTGTGCGTTTGTGACGTTGTAGGAGATAATCTCTGAATCTACTAAACCGATTTAGATGAAATTTGGTAAGAAGATAGTTTGAGACCCTGGGAAGCACATAGGATACTTTTTATCCCGATAATCATCCCTTAAGGAGGTGAAAATGGGAATGAAAGTTTGTATGGGGAATAAAGTTAGAAGAGTTATAATGTTAGAAGATGATCGCTATGAACAACGTACTCCTATGCGAAGCCGCGGTCAAAGACTAGTGTTATACCGTATATTGAACCCACAATAAGTCCCTAACTAATGACGATTGATGATCACCAAATATTCACACCTGCTGAAAAAAAATCTATAGAAACATACGGACAAAAAGACGTCATCTGGTGATACATTGGTATCGAACATGACTTGTAATTTTGATTTGGCTTTTGTTATGCTCTAGTTACTTTTTTCGGCTTTGCCTGCATTCCTATTGACTATTGACAGAATTTAATTTCCCTAGTGGCTCTTTTCGAAACTAATGCCAGCAGACAATTCTATAATATATTTAACTAAAACCGTACTTTCAAACACACACCACCTAAACACAACAAAAAATAATGCCCTAAGGATCCTATAAAAAATGCAGACTTCGAAAATATACCTATAAAGTGACACAGTGTATCAGACAAACAAACATTTAGACCAAAAAACTT